CGGAACCGCGTTAAGATAACACTCGCCACTAATGTTAGCCGTGGCTGGGAATCGAACTCAGGTTTAGCCGGGTTCAGAGCGCAGCGCGCTAACCGCTGCGCCACCGCTCCATCACTTAATCGGTATTAGCTGTGCCATAATTTTAGCATTTATGAGCGTAATGGTTCTCGCGAGTGCCAAACGTTACGTGTTCACACGTATCAGCACACACGAGCATTGTAAGTGTATCGTTTAAAAAAATAAATACCAAACGTCCGTTAGACGTCCGTTGGGTAAATCGCTAGAAAGTTTGTAATAACCGCACTAAAATTACTCAACGGGCCTGTATATAATAATTTTTTTCTCTCTCAGCGAGGCTTCATTTCTCAGCACGGCAGTTGCTTAATTATACGGCGATAAAAGCTTGCAAACAGGAACACCCGGTAGGCGACCGGCAGGCATCCCATGATCATATATACACCGTAGTACACTCGTGTGGAGTGGAAAACTAACTAAAGGTGCAGCCTTGCAATCACTTGTTCGTCCAAGCCATTGCTGGCGGAAGGTAAATCAAGAGAGCCCCTCGAAGGGGGGTTATTTAATCGGCAGCCGTCTTGGAAGATGTGTGAATACGGTGCCCAGATGTAAGAGAGTTATCTCGGAACAGGTAAGATTAGAAAGGTGAATTTTTTTTTTCGAAGTAGACCTGGAGTGGAAATGCCACTCTGCGTTGCAAAGGCAACTAACTCAAAGGGAGAGAAAGAACCTGGACTACAAAGGCAGATCGAGGGATAGAGATCTGTGATACACAAACACGGGTTATACATGAAGTGAGAGGGATTTGTCATGTCTACTTTGCTCTGTATTGGGTTTATATCTAACCGGTTTTTTATTGAAATGTGTTCGGAAAATCGATGATGGGTTAAACAAATGTATACAAAATTATATAATTCCATAATTCTCAATCCACCAAATGGCTGAAGGTCCCCAGTTCTGAGATCACTCGTCACAGATGCTAGCCTGGGTTCGAACTCAGGTGGCCAGGTTCATTTCCACCGCTCCACATTCATATTTAACTTACATGTCAGGTATGTCAAGTGTCATTTAGGACGGAGTGTATACGTTTTAAATCAAAACTAGCTACGCATGATTGATGACTGTATATCCAATTGTAGATAGTTAATGTAAATGTTGTTTTTTTTGTATAGTTGCGTCACTTAAATAACGTTTACTGATTTGAAAGTTGCGGCAACCGTCATGTGTCTGACGGTTAACGTAAAATCAATTTGCCTAAAATAAGTGGCCGGTTGGTGGCCGTTGAAGAGAAAACGACGGCTGATTGGGAAAAAAAAAGATCAAGTTTACTCAACGTGCAAGTATGTTTAAAACAACTCGAGACATTCGTAAATGCCGCTAAAGTGTGGATAATTGTACTTTTTTTTAAATAGTAGAATTTCTTGTGTTTGGCCGCTCGGCGACCGAGCCTCAGCCTCTCGATTCGCGGCTTTGCGATTTTTATTTATTTATTAGAAACTCCACATTGTGGTGGATGTGGCGCCTCTAGTGGCTGCAGGTTCGCTGGAACAAATTAAAAACCGAACAAACATGGGAATACATATAAATGTCGATTCGATGCGCATATATTATTTGAATTGATGCATCATTCATTGCATGCAAACTCAGTTTGTGAGTTTTTTTGTTGTTGAAATGTCATTGAAGCGTACATTTAACATTCTAAAATCAATACAGTATCAATGCAAATCCAGTCGCAGGTATTTAGAAAATGTATGCCATTTTACTTTTAAAAGGTTCTGATATTGGAGAGGTCTTCATCCAGCAGTGGAATCTTCTTTCTCACCTGATGCCGGACGCTTGTGTTGCGCCCGAAACGTCGTGATTTATTTTATTTTATTCCTACGTGACTTTTACCGAAAGAACCAAAGATTGAGAAGCAACGGTTGTGATTGAGAAGCAACAGTTCTGATTAAGAAGCAATAGTTGCTATTGAGAAGCAAACAATTGTGATTGAGAAGCAACAATTTGTGATTAAAAACAGTTGCTATTGAGAAGCAACAATTTGTGATTGAGAACCAAACATTTGTGATCGAGAAGCAAAAGTTGCCTCCGATCCCAGGAGACAGCATTGGACGCTGCTGCGCCCACCTGGATGGCGCCTCAGTGGGTGGCAACTCAGTGGGTGGCACCTCAGTGGGTGGCACCTCAGTGGGTGGCAACTCAGTGGGTGGCACCTCAGTGGGTGGCAACTCAGTGGGTGGTACCTCAGTGGATGGCGCCTCAGTGGGTGGCACCTCAGTGGGTGGCAACTCAGTGGGTGGTACCTCAGTGGGTGGCGCATCCATGGGTGGCAACTCAGTGGGTGGCACCTCAGTGGGTGGCGCATCTGTGGTTGGCACCTCAGTGGGTGGCACCTCACTGGGTGGCACCTCAGCGGGTGGCAACTCAGTGGGTGGCACCTCAGTGGGTGGTGGCGTGTGGATCCGACGACGGTTTTCACTTCAGCGAGGTCGCAGTTCGGCGATGCTTTGATCTTCCATTAATCGACGATGGACTCGCGTCTCCCACGTTGCGTTCGAGCGCGGTGCAGCGAGGTGCACAGTCGTCGTGGGCGAGAGAAGCCCGTTGCTTCCAGGTTCATCCAACTCGCTGAGCTTCCGAGATCATGGGATAGCAACGGTGTTCTAAGTGGTTAGTGCGCTGGTTGATGGAGTCTTTGTTAGGGTGTGTGTTGGGAGGGTGGCACAGACATATCACTGGTATATCCCTTTAAGAGTTTATCAGACTTTACATTATGAGCCCTCAATACTCTGATAGTGCGCTGTTTTTGAGTTGTACGCCTTTTGGCGTCTTCTGGTCCAACACCAATGGAGACTAGGCTCTAAGGAAAGCCGTCTCGGGTGTGGACCAATCAAATTCAAGGACAGTGCATATTATTATCAGAGTTGTCTTTTTTGTTTGCATTTTGACTGCTTGTGTTGTGCTTATTGCAAACATGATGCCTTGAATAAAGGTGTCAGTTTTTGTGCCAGTTAAAAGGGTAAAACCTATTCCTATAGTTTATCAGACTGTCAATGAGCCACCCACAAGGCCGGCATGACACGGCGCCCTGTCTCCCCCAGGGCTGATGTTTACACACCGCGCCAGGTACCTCGATGAGCCTTTTGTTTGCCACAGCCAGCGAGTTCCAATGTTTTATTTTCGGCTTCTCGATTGTCATTGGTTTATGATGATGATGGTGGTCGTTGTTGTACGTTGTCGTCGCATTAGTATGTTTCACGTTGACAAGAGCAGCGTCTGGAAATGCCGCTGCCTCCTATAATCTCTTCTTTTTGGGGACATTAGGGAGAATGTATGGGTCGTAAAATGTTCACGTGTGACACGTGGTGGTGCTTACCAAAAATAAAGTAATTTGCGCAATTGAAGCCACTTGGAATGGCACTCAACCGGCAAGCAATCAATAGCCCAGCCCAATGTGACCGACGGCATCCACGCCGCTAATGGGTTGACTGAATCATTCCCAAAGCAGAGTTTGATGCAGACTCGGGACAGGACACTGTGGCACAAGGAAGAAAAATCACGCACACGCACGAGTGCCGAACGTAACGCCTACCAACACGTGTTTGTCCTCAGATGTTTGCTAGCGTGTTGCCCCTACGGACGGAAACGGATGGGTAGCAGCTACCTGTTATTGTATCACTGGTTGTCTGTAGGATTTGGGCAACCCATATTTGGCTGCTTCTTCACCGGGGAAGTCCCCCGATAGCAACGGCACTTAACAAATGACATTTAAATGACATGTGCTACGTATCGGATGTCCTTTACGCGAGGTGTCGTGACACCCCTCCCCCCTCCCCCCCGTGTTGCACACAGACAGGAGGCAGGGAGGAGAGCTAATGGTAGAACGCTTTCAGCCTTATTTAGAGAGCGTTTAAAAGGGAGCAGGAGACAACGCTGCTATAGCCACGCGGGGCCGTGTCAACCGTGGGCCGCCCGGGCGTGTGAGCAAACTTGATAAATGGACCCCGGCGGGAGGGCCGAGCGCCTGTGTTTGAGAAGCGCCGACTTAAATGGCTCTCGAATGAAAAGTAACAAGTGCCCGTTCACGCCTTCATGCCCACCGAACCCCCACCGCCCCCTCTATCCCGCACCCTCGCATTATATCCCTCCCGACGCCCTCCTGCACTGGGCTGTGGTAACAGTTGTCTGTGGCAACGCTTTGCGTGGGGTGGCCTGATAGGGATAGTGCCAGGGGGGCCGTACACACATTAACAAACAGGCACGCACACACACACACAGTCTCTATAGAGCCACACTCATCTTACCCAATCTCGGACGCAAGAATCTCCGGGTTAGTCTTACAGGTTTGGAGAAAGTGCTGTCAGCGACAAGCGCACTGACACGTTCTCAAACGGCGCGAAGTCTGTGCCGACGTACAACGCAACGACACACACGTGGACACATTTACGCTCACACACACACATCAAAGTCTCACGCACAGACAACATGTCACGCACGCGCACGTACACTTCACATTCACGCAATAGCTCAGTCGCACATGCAAATCATCTGTACACTCAAGTCTCCCTCGTCGTTTAACAAACTTACCACACAATGTCACACTCGCGTGCACTCATTCTCACGCACACGAGGCTGTGCGCAGGTGGCTCCTGTAGCATTCAGAATTTAATTGGTGATTATAAAAAACAAAATTTTTTGACTGGATTTTAAGGTGAAGCTTGGATGAACGATCCGAATATCGGGCATTTATTTTGGGTCCCTCTGCCCACTTCACCAGCCCGCACTGACCAGCGTTGTGAAGTATGGTCAAACAACCCCCATAACCGACATGGCGTGGGGGAGTCCTTCATTGAGCAGGGCAGTGACAAGGGCCTGTACATTAAACAAATGGTTCACACCTCTTGTGGGAAAAATTCCATCAAGCCATCGGTCTTCAGTCTCTCTGCAGCCTTCCTTGCCTAACCCCTGAACCCTCCTTGCCCAAGGGAACCGTGAAGATGAGCGTCACCGCTGACCCGTATGTCGGCTCTTGGAGGCCCCACCGACGCCGTGGCCCCATCGCCGCCCTTTACAGCGGGCCTGGTCCCAAATATGCGCTCCCTGGAGTCACAGGTGAGGTTCCCCGAAGACTTTGGTCCATAGAGATACCTTGGATGTTTGTTTGTGAAGGTCTTGGAACCATCGACCGATGGGAAGGCCTGTTTTTTTCTAAGGGCGATCTAGAACGAAGTAGACACCTTGTAGCGTGTGTGATGGTCTTGGTTCAAATGGAACCCGAACACCGATGCAGTGCCAGCCCATGTGGAGGCCCTAATCTTGAAATTATATTTTGGGTGCATCCCGTGACTACACATATATGATGAACAAGCTGTATAATTTCACTACACTATATCACAGTTGCGTGAAATAAGTGAATCGTTGAATTACAATTAAAATAATTTGCGTTTTTGAGTTGTGTTATGCGAATGAACTTACACTTTTTTTTATAAGGATCTTAGTTTGATCTGATATATTTTATTGTTTCATTAATCCGAAGCCCCATTACTTGTTTTGGGCCCTAAACTTTTGCTTCGTTTGCTTGTGCATAGTTCCACGACTGACCTAGATCAAAAAGAAAAGGATGCTTAGTACTAAAGATAAACCTTGGCAATCTGAATGTTCTGTGGCCATCCGCATTAAACACCTGAAGTATAAATCTCCCTTAATTGACACTGATTTAAATAAGAGTTAAGAGAAATGATTAACGTATATTGTTTTATGCAAAACCACCCCTGATCCCTTGATTATTTTCATCTGCTTGAAATGAATGCTATAGACCTTATGATAGCATTTTCAAGTGTTCCAATATCATAGCCAAAATGCCTAATCTAAAAAAAGAATACCGTGAATATTGATGGCCTTTCATTTGGCCAAATGACATAAACAGAATAAAAGTCTGTTTTTGCATTGCAGTGGAAACCAGAGTGCCCAAAAGCTCCCACACTAACATGGAATATCATTCAAACTCTAGACGGGCGAGGAACCATGTGTGACATCCTAGTGCTTCCTGATGCTGAAGAAAAAGCCATTGGTGTGTTGAAAAATAATGCTGTAAAAGATGTACAATGACAATCCAATGATAATTGGTTTTGAGAGTCATCGCCACGTGAGAAGTGGCTTATTATTCACAGGACATCAATGCGCATTGACCAGATCGACTAGAAGCACTTGATGGGATCGTTTTGAGTCGACTTTGAATTGATTTTTCAGTCATGAAATGACCTGCAGATGACGAGTATTTTTTTACTTTTTCTCCATTGTATTCCAAATGTGCCTTTATCATGTCATGAGTCCGGCATTCCCAGTTAAAATTACCATTGTTCACCATCCCGTGTTTGGGAATGGGCCACCCCAGAAGAGAACGTTATAGAACTACCTCCAAGGTCTCTTCAATTGCCTATGACCTACACTCCTCAGATATCTACACTTGTGTACACCGTACCATATGGCAATCAAACTGAATTTCATTTTAATCTTCAGTTGAAAATTGCTAAATGAAGTGAAAACCAAATTCAATTATTTTTTTTGCGCGTTGAATCACTAGTGAATGGCATGAGACCATCAACCTAAAATTATTTGCAAATTCAGTTTAATCATGGGTGGTTGTCCATGATTCAATTTTGCTCCTCAGAGTGTGCAACGTTTTTTTGAATCAAGTGAAATTTTGTGGAAAAACAACATTCGTTTAACAATAATTTACATTTATTTGATGCCTCGCTGAGACCATTAAAGTTGCTCACTTTAAAAAGACGGTATGATGACCAGTGTTTGCAACCTGCATACAAAATCCGGATCTCAGCGCTGGTTTAGTTTCGACTTATTCTTGTGAGTCACCCGGCATGCCGATAGGCTTTGTAATTTTTAATTTAATTTTATTTTTAACTCGCTTTCAATGAACTTAATTGTACAATTTCCTAGTCTGTCATGAGATCATCTGCATTAAATAGATTTTTTCTCTCTCTGCAAGGTCACTTTAAATGCCTTTCAATTGACATTCCTGAAACTTAATCAATTACATGATTCCATGCTATTTTATACTTTGCAATTTAATTAATGAGCTGTTGCCAAAACAATTTTATGACTGCTTAATTGGATGAGGTCATTCATTTGTATTATTTTGGACCCGATGATACAGCCCTGGGTCCAAAAAACATGGCATGATGTCCTTGGTATATGTGTTGCATGACCTCATACAAGATGTTTAACATCTTGTTACATAAAGAGGTCACAAAGTAATCTTATGTGAGCAGATATATATTATTGCATGTACCGTACGAGTCTTCCAGTCGACCGCTGGAACACTGTTAAGAATTTGAGGGCTGCATCCTAGGTTTAATAGCAGCAACACGGTTGTAATGTAACGTCTGACATCGGTATGATGTCCGATGTAACATGGCACGCACTGGGAGCTTCTTCAGTTTCCGAAGAAGCTCTCAGCACACGGAGAAGCTCCCAGAACAAGGAATGAAACTTCGGACATGTCGGAGGGTTCAGCGCCTGTATTTTTAAATGCTCCACCGCATCATTGATTCGCATGTGGAACCTCTCGCACACACAACGGCTGCATCTCCTCTCTGCACGATCCGCCAACCTCACCTGCACATTGCCGACTAAAATGAATTCGCCGTTCATTCTCGATAGGCATTCGTCACGTGACTCGCGACACTGCCTACTCTTCCTCCACTGTTGTGTCCCCCGCTTGCAGGCCACAGCCTGCACGACCCGACCAAGTTCAAGAACCCGGCGTACAGCTTCGGCGCCCGCCACGCTCACTTCAAGGAGGACACCTCCCCGGGGCCGTGCTACCTGGTCCCGTCTGCTCTGACGCGCACCGGCCGCGCCGGAACGCCGCACTACTCGCTGTACGGGAGGCCTCGCGAGCCAGGCCTGTTCAAGACGCCGGGGCCAGGTGCACGAGTGTTGCGAATAATTGTGTGCACATATGTATATGTACATAGCCTGGCACAAGCGCCGTGGTGACGTCACCGCCACTTAGTGGCGAATGGCAGTTGTTGTTGTATGTACATATGATGGCGTCAGATGCGTATGCCACGTTACACATGTGATCAGCTGTAACCTTTATGACATGAGTGGCCTATGAGCGCATGGCAAGTAGTCACGTGTACCATTTATGATGCGGGGTCAGGTGTGACTATTACAATGAGAGCAAAGTATAATCTGCGTAACATGGGTTCCATGATCTGGACACATCTTAACATGGGGCAACTTGTGTGGATCTCTGGTAAATCTGTCACAGTTGCTCTGTTTCGGCAGATCCTGTGCTCCCGCAGGACGGAGCAGAGATCTGCCAAAGATTCGCCGATAGACGCGAATCGAGTCACGAGCCCACGTGACACACGGGCGTTTCTACCCTCCTCCCTGACCTCGAGCTGCATAGTGCACACACAGGGTCATGCTCTCACTTGCACTCACTCATCTCTCTATGCATACACTTGCACAAAGTCAGGCTCGACTACATTAAGGACTTTGAGAGTACTGTATTATCTTTTTGCATCTTCCACGGACATCATAGGGACTGACGTTGCAGTGACTGCTAATCGCACCTCGAATTAGCACGGTTGGCTATGTACGGTGCAAAGGAAGTTTAACATACATACACACAAAAGTAGAGGTCTTGGGTAGGATACATCGCTAGAAGGGTGTATGCGTCCGGGAACCCTTCGAGCAACGTGTCCTAGTGGTGATGGAGCGGCAGCCAGGGGAGGGAGAGCGCCCGAGAGGACAACAACCGTGGAGATGGACTGTGGTGTCGTGGGGAGTGGAAAAAAAAACATGGGGAGGCTTTCATCCAACTGTGGACAGAACACGGATGATGGTGGCTTTGATGATATTTGACAGTTTTGGGGCATAATGCTTCGGCTACTGTCACATTCCAAAGCCCAGCGGCCAACGGTGACGGTGACGATTCTCGGCTAGCAGTGATGTTTATCGGCACCCAAAAGTCAGGCACTTTTATTCTATTATTTGCATTTATCTGCGCTCCTTCACACAGATAAGAGGACAATGCGCAGATCAGCGCACGTAGTTTTTGCCAATTTCGCCCCACAAATATCAGTGCGGATAAGAGGAGTTCCATTTAGGGTCATCATTCTTCATTGTATTTGTTACAATGGATTGGGGGTTGGTCTTTGTAGTAGATTGTGTTACTGTTTGAGGGCTCTCTAAATCCAACCCCATTTGTCAAATGGAAGATGGGAAATATTACGTCGTGTTTCTTAAAGTGGCAGTTTGAGGCTCTAGCTTGGAGGTATAGAATCCCGAGAGTAGTACACTGATGAAAAGCAGAAAGACCCCCTAGAAATTGGTAGTGATCACAACAGGGCTGTGGGACCATGGGTAATTATAGCATTGCCATCCAGTTAGACAGTTGTTTCTATCAATGCTGGCAGTGGAGTACCGACCACTCACGCACAACCACCACACCGTGATTTTTTTCTTCGAGCCGGTCCGTTAATTTATAGCTGTTTCGTGGGCCATTACACGGGCCACTTGTAAATATGGGGTCTGCCCCCCACATGCTGCCTCCCGAAGGCAGGAAACCCCCTGCAGGCCACGCCTAGTGTGACATGGCCAATGATGTCACTCAGCCCCTCTCATCAGCTGCACGCATAGGAAACAGAAGTGCGACTTTTATCCCCTAACTATTTTCGGGTTACAGTATCCGATTAATCGAGTAATCAAACTAATTCGTAGAGTACTTGATATTTAAATAAACAGGTATCCCAGCGATTATTTGTTTTACTGTATTGCCTTATTGATACTGTATTTCCCACATGCTATACGCAAGCGTGGTTTTCCTCGAATTCAACAGGAGGTGGCAGTATTGACGTGTATTGAGCATAAGTGCTATAAGAAATATGCCCCCTTATCCTTAGGCTGCTAGAGCCTACAACAAATGGCGATGGTGACCATCTATCACGCAGGTCCACGCTACCGTTGCTTCCCCAAGTGCTTATGCTGGTAAATCGCAACTTGCCAGCGCACTGGGTGCTGATCATTCTGGGCTGAATCCAGCTAGGGAAGCCCCAGTCATGCTCAAATGCCCGGTACCGCATTGACACGTCCCCATGTGTACACACCCGCCCTCTTGTGTAGCACTTAAAACACATGCCTGTGCTTGCGTACACAGACAGCGGAATAAGTATTTATTTTGCATTTGGAAGTGGCTGGCTCGATATACCGGTGGTCAGCAAGCGTACAGTTTGCTTTCAGTGGACTTGCTGACCACGAGGCCTCCCTTGAAGAAGCTCCCAGCACGCTGCACGTGCTGGGAGCTTCTTCAGGAAACCGATTCATTTCAGTTCCCGAAGAGGTGCCCAGCATGGGGGAGAGAAACGTCGAACAGCGTGCCAAACGACGGCACGCGGTACAACCTGAAAACACACCGGAGCGAGCCATACAGCAGCACAAGCATGAAAATCTACATCACTGTGTGTTGCTCGTTACTTGTAAATAGATTATGAAAAAAATAGAAGCTGACCCTTGGGTGCAAAGCGCACGCGTAATCAAGGTATCAAACTTATGACCCCTGCATTCATTCGTCCTTGCTCATTTGACTGCTTACCCTGAATCACATCGCGGTATTGGATTTCAGCCCCTGAGTGGGCTAAAAGATAGATAAAAATCATTACTGGATGAAGTTTCACACCATGAGGATTTTCTATTCTTAGACCCTCTATAGCTGTAGACGTCTGCACACAGTGTACGGTACATACACTACGTCCCTACGAACGCACAAAACTCTGCCATGTCGTGCACTCTTTGCATTTGACACAGTGTGTGAAAGAAGGCCTTAATTGTGCAATGGATGAACAAGTGGATGATATGTTTTTTTATTATTATACATCCACGGATATACTGTAAACAGAAATATGCTTAGCTAGTATGTGTGAATATAGAAAAACGCACTATGAGGGAAAATGTATTCGTCAACTTATATTGCTGTCCTAGTTTAGAGTCAAGTGTATGTATGTATGTTGAACTTCTTTCACACCGTACATAGCCAACCGTGATAATTTGTGGTGGTGTGGTCATGAATATCAGCACTGGTGAGGGCTGATATTCATATCAGCACCATTGTAGCACAGTACGTGCATCACATTGTGTACCATATAACAACAAAAAACTTAACCTATTTTAATCTTACAAATGTCACCACTTGAGAACATTTTTTTTTATATAATTGTAGTGTGCATGTTATAACGAATACTGTCAATACATTATTTCCAATAGATTTCCCTTGTGTACCAATTTGGGGTTCACACCTTATTCTTGGCCAAGTCATGCAGCTTCTTAAAATAGGCTACACGAGAAATAATATCACTAACAAAGAAGTCAGGGAAAGTGGTCTACCATACCCCTTTTCTACAGGCACATCCGAACCATGCCAGTGTGGTGCTGTCACGGTAGGGGTAGTTTTCCATTGGCTATTTGCCAAGCAAGATCAGAACCAAATCGTGATACACTGACCTCACAAGGCTTCTGAATCCTGCTCAGGGCCAAGCAAGGTCTGAGCCAGTTTCGACTCTACTCGTTCATTACGTATGACGTCTGTGCCACAGTTTGGGACCTGCAGTGGAAAAACCTGCCGCCCTACATAGCCGCACCATGCCAGGCTGGCTCAGCATGGCTCCATTTACGGCTTGGTTTGGAAAGTGGAAAAGAGAGTACTTGCAAAGCGATAATTGAGTGTCTCATTCTGAACGATGCATACATGATTTTAACTTTCTCCCACGATGCCACAACAGGCAGTTATTCCCCGGAGAGAGCGGGCACCGCGGCTTTCCGTTCAGCACCCTCCTACTCACTTACTGCTCGGACCGACAGCTTCCATCGTGACCAGACTCCCGGTGAGACACATCCTTTTGAGCAGCATGAAATTGTGTTTTTTTTTGGTTCATTAACTTTTCATACTCCACCCCTCCTCCACTGAGAGCGTGTATCCCGCGAAAATCCACGGGCAGTGCGAGTATTAAATCAAATGTACACAAAGCCATCTGGCGTTGCTATGTAGCATAATGGGTAATAACATTAAAAATTTAATAAATAATAAGTTTCACGCATGACCTTTTCACTTTAAATTTCAAGTATACATTACATGCAATTACCATGAAGAGTGCTTTGTACATCATTAGGGCATGACAATGATGCAAACCATTCTACCATTATATGTCAGCCAGGGACTTGGATGGTAGGGTGACATAGGCATTAAAGCTGCGATGATGGTGATGATAACAAATGCATGGATGAATCGCCCGTACACCTGCTGGGCAAGAGCAAGTTTAAAGACTCAACATATTTATCGATATCACTGCCCCAAAAGAAAATATATATTCGGTTACATTTTTTGTCAATGGCCCTTCTTCATAGCCATATGGCCCTTCGTTACAGAGAAAAGGGTCCATAATACAGTTGTTTTGGGTCGTGAAAGCCTACGTATTAAACAGAGAAGGCTCATTGCCCAAACATCACCATATTTATATAGTTTTTATTTTCGAGCAGGGTTATTGACAAATGCATAAAGTTTTTGTCCTGTGTGCTTGTGCACGTCTGCCAATGCAGAAGAAGAAAAATTATAATTATTTTCGTTTAATCAATAACCGTGCGATGTTATACATTCACTACCCCTCTACCGCAAGCCAAACTCTCCCGCTCGCCAGCGAAAATATCTCCTTGCATCCCACAGGGCCTGCCAAATACATGCTGCCGGCCATGCTCGGTCCCCACGTGATCAATAAGTCTTCCGCGCCAACCTACTCGCTGTCGAGCCGCGGCAAGATCGGCAGCTTCCACGAGGATTTGCAAAAGGTGACAATAATAACGATGATGATGATGGTGGTGGTAGTGCTATTTAAAAAGAGCCTTTCATCAGTCGCACTCCCCAGAAATCCCCGGCGCGTTGTACCGGACTTCAATACAAACACTACATATGTGTATGTATTAAAAAAAAATCGCCTTTCATCAAGAATCTCAAAATTCTGTACACATGAGACACTCAGCGTGATAATAACTAAAAACGCATCCGTGAGGGAATCAACGCAACATCGCCTAGTGCAATCCTGATTTTTTTTTTACTTTTCATCCGCTTAAATGAAATTAACTAATCTGTAGTCACACAATGTCCATAATTTGTTGTTGTTAAAGTAATTGGAATGTTTTATTCTTTAAATGTGAAAAATAACTGCCATTGGGTAAGAACAGAATGAAAAATGTAATGATTAGAAAAGCTGTATCTGTAAATCTTACCAAATTATAATTGCCAGAATGTTCAATTACTTGAAATAATTTTACAGCCACAATCTCCACCAACACCATCTCACTTCTTGTCTTGACTTAGTTCCCTCGGGGGTTTAAATATTATTCTCAGTGTGATATTCCCCTTCAAGAATAAAAGGGAGAGTGGGAAGTGGAGCTGGGGCACAAAAGGGATGTTATATTGTATCTGCCCATTTTAATCTCTGGATAAACGGAAGCTGTAATATTTCGGTAGAGCAATAACCTCCCCTAATCCCGACAGCCCATCACTTACCTCTCACAATAATTCACAAACATCTCACGAAAGACACGACGCAGAAGATCAGAAGTTATGAAAGATCTTCTGCGAAGGCTGTGAGCCACAACTCTAAACAGCATCCGCACAAACCATGGCAGCTGCGGATACTTGATGCACAAATGGAAAATTGAAAACTCTCCTGTGTGCACCTGTGTGATCACACAGAACAGACCATGGAGCATTTGACACACTTTAATGCCTGACGAAATTAGCTGGCTCAACCACCGCAGTTGAAAATTTACAGCACTGCATCAACATCAGTCATAGGAAGAAGACTCACCTCTAAACTCATTATCATTGTTGTCGCTATTAAATCTCCACTCTTGACTACTAGACCCCTGGACCAGGCACATACCACATGGTGGAGTCCAACACTTACCGGAACAAGCCGCCGCAGTACAGCCTGACGGCCCGCAACAGCTTGCCGGGTGATACCACTCGCAAGCCTGGCCCGGGTGCCTACAGCCCAGAGAAGGTTAGTGTATTTGCATGTACATGCGTGTGTGTATATATATTTTTTGTGGGGAGAGGTAGTGTAGCGGTTAGCGACCTGCGCTACGAACCTGGCGACCCGAGTTCGAGTCCCGCTCACGGCCAACACCAGTGACGATTTTCTAAACCGGTCCTGGGCCTCTCCTAGGTCGACTCAGCCTCAAATGAGTACCTGGTGCAGTGTGTAGACATCGCCACTAGGGAGACAAAGGCGGCCGGGCGTGGTTGCTGGCCACCCACCCCCTCGTGTGCTGTTCCGGCCTTCATAAGTGCTCGCTAACAGCACTTGCCCCAATGGTATGTAAGCCTGTGCGGGCGTTCTTTGTCTTTATATAAATGTTGAGAGCGAGAGTGCAGCGATGAGCGCACTGCGCTACGAGCCTGGCCACCCAAGTTCGGTCTCCCGCTCAAGGCCAACACCAGTAGATTTGTGGACGGTCTGACAAAATCATGAGCAACTTGGACACATTATGGGGATCTTGTGGATGATTTCTTTCCACTTGGTATTGGCTTGGTGTCAGGTATAGACAGGTTTTGTTTGTTCAACTTTCTTCCCATTCTGATTGCCAAGTTCTTATTATCGTAAACATATGATGATGATGATGATATTAATAATAAAAAGTAGAGATAATTTTTCACGTTTATTTTTTTATCGTGGACATTATTCTAGAACACAATTATACTTGGATACAAGTCTCAAACTAAGTTGTTCTCGAGTGCAAACAGAACGCGTTTGACTGAATTGTTCCGGATTTTTGTTGACGATTTAGCCAAAAGTCCTTCCTTGATTGAGAATCTCGACATATTCATCAATAACAGCGTGGCCTTCAAAAGAAAAGATTTATGACGGGTGGAATTTCGGACAATGTTCCTTTTACTGCGAATCGGGAGGCCAGACAAGTAGAGTGGCTACTTTCAGACCGCATTCCATTCTCTTCCTCTCCCCCCTCCTCTTTTCCGAACATAGATGGACTCGTCCATCTGAACAACTGCCAAAGTCGCTCTCCGTGGTGCTAACGTTCAGAAAAAACCGCCACTTTTTACAAATTTTCTTGCTGTGGTTTTCACACCTGATGATGATTGCTTGTGTTGCAGTCGAAACGTCGTGAGAATTTTATTGTTTTATATTTTTATTATTTTATTGAACCAAGAATAAGAGTGGATACGAGTCCGGGACGCCACTTTATATCACGGCGTAGGTGACTGTGCTATTGACGAATGTGCTTAGTGTTTTTTTCTTACTGCCCGTGCTTGTGCACCACTGTCAATGCACGATCACCAGATAATACATTTACATGATTGAGCATAACATTGGTGACACACATATACAGAACAGCGGTCAACTGGGTGAGCATGTAGCATCCATAATTAGTAATAAAGTTAGGTTGGGGTTGAGGTAGGGTACAGTTATGGTGATGACAATGATTCTGGAGAGAGACTAGAGGTATAGTTTGAGCAAAAAATTAGCACGAGAGCTAGCACAAGGGCTTTGTTTCGGCGTGTGCATATAACATTAGTGACGACATCATTTGTCCCAGTCTCACTCTAACGTGGAGTTGTTTTTCAGGTGACGTTGACACATCTCCAGGCGCCAGGATATTCCTTTGGACTGCGCCACTCAGAGTATGTGGCTCCTCTCATCATTCATACGGAGGAATAAAAGGACCCCAGGAATAAAAGGACCCCTGGCTATCCCACCGATGGAGTCCCCATCCACAGCAGAGCCAGGGCAATTACAATACAGTACTGGCACATTCTGGAATCAATTTCAAGCAGGAACAATATCTATTTTTAATAGAGCAAAATCTAGAGCGATCAGTGCGCTCATATTGCCCTTGTCGGAGAGCCAGCACTGCTGTGTTTGGGTTCTGCTCCTGGCTGGGAATAATTAAACCGACCTTTCAAACATATCAATTTCATGGTCTCAGCACGGTTACTAGTCACCCTATAAAAAGATTATTATATGAGTAGTTATTCACGTAATTTAGGAAAGCGCCTCTCTGTGGGACAAAATATATATCTCGCGCGATTGAAATGAGGTGAACCACTCTTTACAGAGCACGACAGAAAGGCGTCCAGTTTTATGTGTGAGAAGCCTATTCAGTGAAACCCACGGTAAGTAGTTACGTCACATTCAGGAACTATTCCCTGACGTGAAGCAATGCGTGCTTCGTGTTCGGCAGGATATTTGTTCTCCAATTTATGAATAGGCTTTGGCATTCGAATTCCATTTTTTTAAAGTCAAGATGACGGGGGTTGTCACGTCTAATGGTAGAAATAGTCCAATAATTTCCATCCTTGTTCGCAGATTGACATTTGATATCCACAGTCGCAGTCCCATCCCGCGCATTGAAATCGGGTTTTTACTTTTTAGTCACTGACCTTTTTTGGATGCCACTGAAACGCCTGTATCGGTGACCCAGCCTTCAGCACAATACTTGGTGAGGCCAACGGGAGACCGATGCATCCTTTGCATCATAGGCATGCTGACAGTATGTCTCCTTTACATGTCTATCTCTCCGCGTTTAAAAAAATATCGATATATTTTACACAATCCATTGGCTGCACGGCCTCTGGGAGTGCATCATTTCAGCAGAAATTGATCCCGTGCGAGCAGACAAACTCTGAACCAGTTTTCTACACACAGTGTCATCAATATAGTCGGCTTTGCTTGAATAAAGCCCAGCGAACTGCCACGTATGAAAGGCAAAGACCTCTTTAGGATATGGTTCTCGTAGTTCGACGCAAAATCACATTAAATAAAAATGGTGCAGATGTTTTTTTTCGCACTGACTCAATGAAGGCCATGGGGCTGATGGGTTGTGTAAAAATCACTTTTATATTATGTAGAGAGACAGATATGTGACAGGAGATGTATTGTATGCTTCATTTTTTTGTTATTTATATTCTCTTCAACGATGTAAATGCTTATTTCCGTGTAAACCTACGAGGAATTTAACACAAATGATGACATCTGGCAATTGACGTAATTTTTGGCAGGAAAATAACAGACGTGACATAATGTGATGTAATTTAAAGTGACATACCTTTACACCAACCCAATACATTTGTTTTGGATCGTCCAACATTTCATAACTAGGGGTAGTTTCCATATTTTTCGATTTTATTTTGTAAATCGGTAACACGCCCCAACTACCTACTAATGCCTTGCTGAGTCACTCAGTCCTGAAGACGTTGAAAGGGGAGCCTGTTTGGGATGCTGGCCAATGCAGGGTCAGGTGGTGCACACCCCGTCAGTGCTTGGAGGGAAGGGTCTCGTGGACTATGCAAATTTGTGATACTGTCTTACACGATGGGCCACTAGGTGGCCAGCAGACGACGGTAGAACATAGAATAGTTGGTTACCTGCCTGGGCGAACCTTCCAGTGCCGTCCACTCTTAAAGAACAGGTTTTTCTCCGAGTGCTCCGTTTATAGAAAATACTCTTTTAAAAAAGCATTGGCCAAACATTACATTTGCAGGAGCCTCCCAAATTACACCCGAGACTCGGTAAAGCTTTCCTGGGTAAATCAATTATATTATTATACATTCCTGGACTGTTTATGCTTGTCACGATATCAACGGGTATGAGAGAAAACCCAAACTTTGCCAAACTGGTTCAAGATCAAGATGTCACCAACGCCATAGCCGTAGATGTCACCGCACCTCGGCCGTAGATTTCCACCCTCTGCACGAGGTCCAGACACAGTAAAAAAGACATTTAAAAATAAAAAGTAGTATCTCAACTGCCCAGCAAATCACTTTCTCACATAATGCTTGTATATGATCTGCGTAAGTTATTTTATGCAATTAGATTTGACCACTAATTTAATTCTCAATTTTTCTCTCGGAGTAGAATAAAATTGAAATGATGAAATGTCCGTTCCTTGAATCCTGCGGGACAGTCGAGTATCGTAATATCACTTTAATAGGCCCTCTCTGACAAACACAATACAGCATTGAGTACATTGACTTCTGTGTCTTAAGTAAGTGTAACATGTTTCAGTCCCTCGACGTATTGGCCTTCGAGCCACATTTACGTGCACCATGTGTGTGAGTAAACAGAGCCTGGCAAGTTTTGATTTCTAGGCAGATACTGCTGGATTTAAGAGATGTTCTTGGAAAGGGTGCTCACTTAGAACGAATAGGCCTTCTGGCATCACATTTTTAAAATGATATTGTTTAAAAACCCATACACAGTAATCGCACGTTGTAGGCAATTGCATAAATAAACAATTACATTCTGTGATGTCATTCATAATTGTATACAAATGTATTTTGTTTCATTACGCACAATGCCTCCCCTCCCACCACAGTGCATGAGTTCCTATACAGCATTAGCTTGCGCACTGTAAACAGTGGTACATCGCGCAGATGTCATTGTGAGCTCCCTTCGCGCTCTCGTGCACGAATTATTAAAAGCAAAAACGAAATCTAAAAAAAAAACGTGTTTCATGTGAATTTAGTCAAAAGGAATCCCCCCCCCCCCCCCAGAATACGTTGAAATACCTTCACGAATTTTATCCACGAATCTCCGATGGTGGGCGTTACGGGTGGGCACTAAGCTCCCACCGTACACCTCGGGCTCCAATGGCAAAACTCTCGGCTTTACGCAACGCCTGTCCACCACTTGGCTGCCAAACCGAACGGATGACGCTCCGAATGCCGAGACGTGTTTCGCCGTGGCTGAAATGCCAACAGATGTTCGCCGTTTCACCGCAGTGGACGTGGTGTGCCCGGGAGGGGTGGGATAGGTATCCAGCCACCTTCAAGCGCTTTGTGAAGTTAAAAAAAAAAAAAATTTGAGCTAATTTGTCCCACTTGAACGCACCCCCCACCCCCTCGTCAATCAACACAAGTTGTTCTCAGTGAATGTTAATAAATATGAATACGTGTCCGTTTGCGTTGCCTTGTTTGAGCTGTATTTTTTTCTTATTGTGTTAATTTATTTGTTGCGACCGACACATGCCAATCGACAGAGAAACATTTGTGCTTCGTGATATGTCGTTTTTAATCAGAGTATATTTACAGGGTTACACAATAGTGTCATCACCCACGTTCTAACCACGCAGACGTCTTCAGAGTTGTAACATTGAATAGCTTGGTAACGGTGAAGGTGCAGCTCTGAAATGTAATGCTCATGCTACTGCGACAAAAAATGCTTCCCCGACTGCAGGCCAAAGGGCCTCCATTAGACATTCTCCAGAGGTCAATGAAAGGTTATTTTGGCCTACTAATTCCACGCTGCCCAGACGTATTAGAAAGGGTGGGAGTACCCACACGTCGCACTGCCACACACGACCTGCCTATCGTCTCGACTGTGGTGAATCCATTTATACTACCAGGTGGATAGTGGCTAAGAGGTGAGGATTTAATAAACTTGCCCCATTGTTCAACTTTTGTGCTGGGAGGTCGAACCAGCGACCTCCGGATTGCAAGTCCACTGTGATTACCATTACACAACGGTCGCATGCCTCCATCGTGACGATATATACACACATGTGGCAGTAAGGTAACTTTCACATTCTGGATCTCATCAGCAGTCAGTCTTGCGAAACAAACACTGCTAGATTACCAGATAATATTGGCAAGAGCACTCCATATAAACTATGGACACCTTTTCAAAGCAATACCACACACAAAATCATGCATTGCTGTAAGTATGGTGATGTATGTATGTTGAAATTCTTTAGCATGGTGCATAGCCAGCCGTGATAATCAGCGGTGCAAAATTTACGTGGAGTATCATGGGTAAAAGCAAATGAGTATTACTATTGAGCTGCTTTGCCTCTGATTCCCTTCCTACCGACCAACACACTTGCAAAGTAAAATCAGTAAGCGATGTCACTCATGGGAAACTTGGTTTTCCCGGTATTTCCTTTTTTTCGAGGGAGAGCTGTCCTGGGAAATCTGCAGGTCTTCTCAGGACAATTAAAAGTCCTGTTTTTTGTCATTTGCATAATAATAATACCAATACAACACTCGAGACAAAGCGTGTACATGTAGGGCTCCCCTCATCACGCATTCTGAGATATTCTCCTTCACGTGCCATGTCAAAGTTTGTACGTACCTCAGAGGTGACGACCGTAGTCCCAGAAGTGGCAAAGAAGGGCCACACCAAGGCATACAATTTTAAAAAGTAAACACTCAATGCCGACGAATCGGGAGATTCAGTAGCTGCACACAATTTGCGTTGGAAACACTTTGGGGAGCAGCAGCACGCATTTGCTGATTTTCTGTGACAGCACTTTGGAAGGCTCATTGAACGTCCTTGTTTTTATTTCTTCAGTAGCACGCACACTCCGTTCCGCTCTGCCCAAGGTGCCATGAGCACGACTCACAAATGTTGCCCCTTCCAACCGAGCGCTGCTCTGATAGCATCGCCAAAATGGCCTTCGCCCCTGCAGGCTGTGCCGCCGATCTTTTTTAAACGTTTCCACAATGTGAGTCAAATCCAGGCTCTTGGTGATAACCTCCAGCAGTTCCTCGCCTTTCTTGGCTTCCTTCCACAAACTTTTCTAGACTCAGTTCACCTTGGAGGAGACAGGGCACGCGAGAGAATGACGACTGCGTGTGGTACTTGCAGTGTTTTATGAGTACTGCATGGCTAGACCAACCCAACACCTCACCGCCTCAATTCAAATCCAATGTGTAAACGTCATTTAATATTGCGGTGAATGTAGGGCACTGTTATGCAATACATCTGCTAAAAGACGTCATCGAAGGCCGTTATGCATCGAGTGAATGTTTATCACCTGGCCAATGAGCACGTGCCCTGGCAGGCACCCGATCTTGTCAGAGTATCGGAAGCTAAGTCTGAATGGTGCTTGTATGGGCAGCCACCACGAATACAAACCGTTGCTATAGGTTGCTGTGGGTTTGCGTTGTCAGCAGAGAGCAGTGGGGATAAAAAAACCCCGTTGTACTGTATTATCCTCCGTCTATGCTCCCCCGCTTTCACCAACCCCCAGTGACTAGTGTGGTGAAATATCGCCAACATCAACCCGTCATCCCCCGTACAGAGTGCGGAGGGCCTTTGTCCAACAGTGGACTGACACCTTGTAGAATGTCACGCGTGGCTGGAGTTGATGTGGTACCGGCGTTGTAAACAAGCCAGATAAAATCGGCACTGCGTCTAAGCGAACGGCTGCAATCGAATGTCGAGCGAGGGGGACTATTAAGGCTGCCAAATATTACGACATGTACGGTAATTCGTTTCCTTTTTTTTTCACCAACCAATACCAACATTTTGAAAACGTGCCACATAAATAACTGAAATAAGTAGCGCTTTGGCGAACACACTACAATAACTATTGAAGCTTGAGAGTTTGGTATACATGTATTTTTGTTACACCTCGAAACCTTTGGACCACGTGCATGAGATCTATCCAAAAAAGTGACTTTCGTGTCGGGGTATGTATCGTGACCTGATAGTGGTTACCACACAAACTGCCCGCCGCACGTACCCACTGGGCCCTGCCTGGAAAGGGTACGAGATAAGTCACATTCACGGCTTGTTGCGGCCTGGCCTGGCCAACACATGTGCCATGAAGAAATGTCCCATTGCCCGCAACATTGACGATTGTATACAGGGATGCCTCTATACTTACGAACAAGTTATGTTCCAGAGGTCTGTTCGTAAGTTAATTTGTTCTTAAGTGCAAACTTTATTGCTTTCGATTCCAAACATATTGTATGGCATTTACATTCAACACGAGGGAATGGCTTTAAAAGTTGTATAATCTCGTGTAGACGTAGATGCCACTGGTTATTCATGTTCTGCAGACGTAGATGCCATTCGTTCTTCATGTTCTGCAGATGTAGATGCCACCACCGCCGTCTATTGCGCGGCGGTTGAACTTACGACTCTCGGTCCGAAAGGCAACTGGGCATACTGACAGGTCTGTTCGTATCTCTGAAAGTTCGCAAGGCGAATGTTCGGATTTTTCAGTTTAAAGCCACAGCGTTACGAACGTGTTTTTTTGGGGGGCAATGGTCCTTCTTTGCGGCACATAAGTACTAAGGCGAGCGAGATAAAGTGGACGACAACAATTGGAGACTGCACTTCACACAATAGGGGAAAGGGGGGTGGGCTGACGAGAATGACATGATAAGGGAGTGGGTACTCTACTACTGAACCTGCCGCCGCTGCTGCTGCTTTTTCACTGAACGGTGCTTGACCATCGCATCAAACAAACACGGTCGCGACGCCACGTCACAATCAACATCGTCATCAGCAACATCATCACCACTGCCACCACCACGACATCGTCCATCACAGGCGGAACCGCGCGTCTCATCGTCGGTGCTAAGACCAGCAGAGACGACGAGGAGAAGGAGAAAGAGGAGGACGAGGAGGAGCTCATTGTGCTCGTTCACCACCGCCACCGAATAACGCCGAGTCCACTCACCGTCCTCATTGATATCGATCCTTTCGAACACAAATTCTGTGAAGTCCTTCGCTGATAGTTTATGTTCAAAGCCGCTCAGCGATTGAACCGCCTGCCGAAAAGGGGGGGGGGATGTGCAGAAGTGAGCTCCGTCTGATCAGTGCGTTAAAAGGTGACAGTATGGGTAGCCACATTGATGTTTTCTCTAATTAGACTACTATTTAAAGTGATCTATGCCTCGAGTTTTTATGCCAAAGAAGGCTGTCTCTGGTGTGGGCCAATCCGTTTCAAAGACACTACGTATATTCTAATCAAAGCATGCTCGTTTGCACGTTGACTACGAGTGCGTGTGGTTAATTCAGACTTGCTTGCCTTGCAAAAGGTTTCTATTTGTTTTTTTTTAACATCTTAACACCGCATTGTTAGTGGCCACGGGCCGTTGCCACTGAAGCTACTAGCCGGGTGGGTGGCAAGCACCACGCCCGGCCGCCTTTGTCTCCTCAGTGGCGATGTTTACCAGGTACTGATTTGAGGCTGAGTCGACCTCGGGGAGGCCTATAGGACCAGTTCAGAAAATCGTCACGAGTATTATTGACCGTGAGCTAGAGTCGAACTCGGGTGGCCGGGTTGGTAGTGCAGCGCGCTAACCGCTCCACTGCCGTGTGTGTGTAGGAGACACGCGCACACACACACACGTATTGAGAATCTAACAAATGTGCGAATGAGACAGTGTGGTACCGCAGGTGTTGCAACGGCCAGACATCTCATTCGATCAACACGTGGCACCTAGGTCTGTTCCGTGACCTGCTGCCAGCGGGCCATCGACACAGCACGTGGCCTCAACGTGCACCTAGCATGGCACAAGCGCCGTGGTGGCGACACCGCCACTTTAGTGACGAATGGCGGTTGTTGTTGTGGTTGCGTGTGTGTGTGTATATATACCTGTATAATGTTATAGAACTCATTCTTGTCAATGCAGCCATTCCCATAGGTATCGTAGATGTGACGTTTAGTCGTGGCGGCTGTTTGACCAAACTTCATCACCACGCCGGTTAGTGCGCGTTGGTATACAGGCGGGAGAGAATAAATGTGGGAGCATAGAAGTGCAGTTCACTGCTTTCTAATGCGTAACACATAGTACTTACAAAAATATTTGTTTACGAGCATCTCAAGCAGGACCCTGCTGTCTTGAGACTCTGAGTTGTTTTGTTCATGCGTGGATATATTTTAAACTACTACAGTCATATGACTAAAGATACTGTATGCTTACGCTGAAATACTGCAAACAGTGTGATGGCTGAAGACCGACATTGGAGATGCCCTCATCGCCCTGCCGATGGGCGACTTACGCTTGAAAGACACCAAAGGAACCTCAAAGAGTCACGATACATCACTCGAGAGACCTCCCGAAGTGGACAAGAAAGTCATCGCTAGATTATTTACGAAGTATTACTGTGGCTCAACTGATATCTAGAATCCTTAACATCTGCACAGAATAGCTCGCAAATCTGCA